CTTTTTCACAAATCGATTACTGCTCTTGATGTTAAGACTCGCTTGAGAGCCTTGTTTGTTTTTCCTATATTTGTTGCATAAAAGAAATATGTCGTTCTATTTTAGATGTTATGGTTTGCTCTTTGAAATTTTATCACATTTGTTCTTTTCCAGCATTTCTTTTGGTGATCTTCAAATACAATCGCACTTTCAATTTCTTTTGAGTATGTAAAAGTTTTTTTAAACCTATCATGGTTCCCTAATGTATGGGACAACACTGGGTAGGTTGTTGTTGCTGTTATCATTTCCTCATTTCTTCCTAATATAGATGGGGATAGTCGATGCAATTGTAGACCTTGTGAGCAGTGGAACAACTTTGGGAGAGAACAATCTGAAAGAGATTGCAGGTGGAGTCATCTTGCAAATTCAGGTAATTTTTCAGTCTAATGCTAATGGGTTTTTGTGTTCTACTAATGTCAATGTGGAGTGTTTATTACTCAAAAAGTTATTGATTGAGACTAAATTTACTAGGGAAGAGAAAAGGTTTTGAAAAATATGTATACACTATTGATAATATTTCAAGTGTGTGAATGTTAGAAATAGATATTCATAGGCCATCACGTTTGGGTAACAAATGTTCCTGACTATCGTTTGCAAAACCCTTTAAGTATACATAATACATTATTTAGTGCAATGGCCCTTTGACCTCATTAGTTTCCAAAGATTATTGCCCCCATTATAAAACACTAGAACAGTCGTCATAAAATATTGATAGTGTCATTTTGTTTGAGGAAAGAATGTGGTCAAAGGGACATTGCACTGTATTATGTCATAAAATATTCATAGTATCATTTTAAAACATGTTTTCGGCTCATATTGACGGGCAGGCACATTTTCAAGGGATGTAGAGGTCCAAAATTTGCAGTCACATATCCTCATTATGACATATTAGCACAACACCTGATGGACGTAAAATATTATGATTAATATTTCTGCTCAGGCGGTCCTTGTTGCTAGCAGGAAATCATTGACACGTAAGGATGTGCTAGATATAACACATGAAATGCTTGAAAGGCTGGAGGCTCATTTGCGTGCTTCGGGGAAACTCTGCAGAGGAAGTAGCTGAGCGCGTACTGAGCCGAAATTCCTTATCAGGGTTGCAAGTACGGACTAAGAGTGTTACTAAACAGTTTAATAGAGCAGAAAACTATCTTACTACCCTTTGACAGAGGGATAGTAATCACAGTCCATAAACTGTTAGCTACACAATTCCCAACTAACTTAGGCATGCCCCGTTCATACAAATCAATGTATGGGCCCACAGTAAGTCCAATATTTTGCAAACGAAATGGCCAAGTAACTCCTTTAACTCTTAATACTAAGACATCTGATTTTTTTGAAACACAAGATAAAAAGAGAGAAAGCGTTTATGAATTAAAATTAAATGAAGTGTTTCAAATGGTATGCTCACTCTTCGAAATTGAACCAGACTCCTTTAACTCTTAATACTAAGACTTCTGAATATTTTAAAACACAAGATAAAAAGAGAGAAGGATTTTATGAATTAAAATTAAATGAATTGTTTCAAATGGTTGAAACAGACCTTCCAAATCAAACGGAAGGTAATGGACTAGATTTTGAGAAGCAATCAGAGTTTGATTGGGAATATGTTTTCAAGATGATGAGACTTATTTAAACAATAAAAAGAATCAGATTTCTAATATTTCTCTGATGAGCTTGAAGACAGATGAAGTGCTTTGGAAACTGTCACAAATAACATTCAAGGTCATCTTCAAAATCAGTGTCAAATTCAAAATTTTTCTAATGAAGTGGAAAATATCAGTTCTAAACCTGAAACTGAAGTTGACATTGAAGCTGAAATTGATGAGTCCAAAAGTGCTTTCAAAAGTTTTTGTTTTGAAGAGGAGAGATCACCCAGTATTCAAAATAAAACACACCAAAAAGAGACAAACAAGATTTGTACTGGTGAATTGAATACCCCAGTGAGAATTGAAAAAGAGGAAGATATACTTCATGACCAGGGAGCTGTTTCAAATGGGTTTAGTATGGCTCATCTTCTTGGAAATATAGAGATTATAGGCAAGCTGCTAGGTGAATCTAGTATTGAAAACAAAATGGCTTTTGAGAAATCTGTTGAGCAAAACATTTTGTTGAAACTCTTTGGAAACATTGAAAAGAACTTCCATAATATTGGAGAAATAAATATTTTAAAAAGGAAGAAGTCTGATAAGTTTAAAGGATCTAGGGCTAAGGCTGAATTGATAAAAGAGCTTGGAGATGATTATTGCTTGGGACTTGATAAACTTTTTAGAGAAAATGATTTTATTGTGTTTTCTAAACATGCTGAAAAAGACGAGCAGTTAGTTTTTGAAGAAATCCCACAAGCTCAATATGCCAAGAAAAATACAGTAACGAAGGAGCACCAGGTTGAACAACCTGGGTTTTAACTAAGTGTGGGGGAGAACAAATTAATTCTTATTCCATACAGCACACCCCAGTTTCTTTGAATCCTGAGATGATTTCTATTCCTTATTCTTTAAAGAGCTTCATGTTATGACGGATGTAAGAAAGATAACAAACAATAAAGAAACGAAAAGAACAAAGACACACAGATTTATCGTGGTTCACCAACAATATGTTGGCTACATCCACCTAAGAGAAGAGAGGAGAGCTTTTACTGATTGAGGAGAGAGATTACAGAGGGATTTTCTAGGTGACTAATCTCAATATGAATGCCTTACAAATGAACCTATTTATAGGAAAGATGGCAGCCAACTTGGCTGCCTAAATCCAGTGGGAACTGAGCTGTTGACAGCCCAAAATACTGCTGTTATACAGCTGGCCCACCTCACCAACTAGCAACCCACTTGCGCAATTGTCTAGGCCTCCTTCCAGCCACTTACCATCTGGTTTCCAGCCACTTTCCAGCCAGGTGCAGCCATTGTTGACTAGTCAAATAGGTTAGAATTCAAGGCATTCCAACAAATCTCCACCTTGACTTGAATTCTCTCACAAATTTCCAGATGCACCTCCTTGGTGCCATATGTATCTGCTCTCTTCTCTTCTGCCATTTAACAGCTTGTGATATTTAGCAAGTCCAAACAATGTTGGAACTTGCTCTGTGGAACTGACTTAGTGAACATGTCAGCCGTGCCCACTTTCTTCACCCTGATTCTTTTCTCACTTCTCAGAAAATGATACCTGATGTCAATGTGCTTAGTCCTTTCATGATGAACTTGATCCTTGGCTAAGCATATTGCACTCAAACTGTCGCAATACACTATAGCCTGATCTTGGTGTACACCAAGATCATTGACGAGTCCTTTTAACCTAATTCCCTCCTTGGCCGCTTCTGTCAACGCCATGTACTCTGCCTCCGTAGTAGACAAAGTCACTGTAGCTTGTAGAGTTGCCTTCCAACTCACCACAGAATCACCAAGAGTGAAAACATAACCAGTCATGGATCTCCTACTGTCCACATCCCCGACATAATCAGAATCTGAGTAGCCGGTTACTAAACACTGTGTATCACTCCCATAAATGAGACCAACATCTGAGGTACCTCTAAGATACCGAAAAATTCTTTTCACAGCCTGCCAATGTGTATTATTTAATTAATTAATATTAATTGTTACAATTTCTTTAGTCTAATACTCCCTCCGTTTGGAAAAAGAGTTCCTCTTTTGACTTTGTGTAAAAATAAGAAAGTTATAAATTGTTGTTGACTTCCAATTTTGCCCTTGATGTGATAGGTAAAAGTAAGATGTGATGGATAGATTATTAGAGATAAAGTATGATGCGGTAGGTAGGGTATGAAAAAGTAAGGGTTAAAGTGGGTTTTTAATAGAAAGTGGAAGTGTATTGTTGGAAATGAAAAAAATGAAAGAGGAAATGTTTTTGAAAACGGAGGGAGTAGTTACCATTATATTTTCAACTTGTGTATTAATCTTTAAATTTACTGTTGAAGACTCTTTTATATGCACTGCATTATATATATATCTGTGTGTGTGTGTGTGTATATATATATATATATATATAATTTTGAAACCTAGTTAGGTACCCTTTATATTTGTGCACCTTTTCCATCTATAAAAGTTGTGCATTGGAGATTGGAGCTGGTACACCGTTAAATATTTCCATTCTTTCCATTTCGTCGTTGCTGGCCATAAACGCCCAATTTTGCTCCAGAATTGATTCTCCTCTCTCTCTATATTAATACCCCCTTAAATGCATACTCATTTAAAGCCTTTAATTTACTTTCTTTTTTATAATAACGCATGCACAGTTTCATATGTGTGTATTGGAATTGGATAGATTTCACCCTATCTCCGCCGGGATGGATTTCAGGTGATTCTCCAAAATTTGCGCTAGCTCCCCCAAATATGCAAAGTCATAAATTTTTCTCCCGTTCAGTATTGTTGCGATCTGCAATGGATGTGGTTATTATATCAGATGTCTTCCTCCTTGACGCAGCTCCTTGTCCCAGACTGGCATACTGTGAAGCCGAGATTGCACTAAATTAGCACATTTGCTTGCAGGTCTGTGAGATGCTTGAATATCATTTTTATAGCCTTTTCCTGAATTTCATTAAGCTTTTCCATGCTGTAAATCCGGCATACTCACATATTATTAGGGTTTAGCAATCATGCTGCTGTGTTCTTCAGTAGTTATTTTTCCTTTAAATTGATTTTTAAGATATTGTGTTAAAAATTATTGTATTCTGTCCTGGCAGTCAGTATGAGTATAAGTTTAAAAATTAGAGGAATTTATACTTGGAACATTCAACCATTTCTCAAAATTTAAGGTTCCCAACTTTGAAGTAATAACTTATTTATTGAATAAAAAATTTAACCAAGCTCAATCTCTATCACTTAAATTATTAGATTACATATAAGGGGCCAGTTCCCCATTTGTAAAATTGACGGTTTCAACCCCCCCTAATCCTCCCCCTAGTAAACCCTTCCCACCCCCTACAACAACAACAACAACAACCCAGTTGGATCCCACTACAGTAGGGTCTGGGGAGGGTGTGTGTACGCAGACCTTGCCCCTACTCGGAAGCAGGGAGGCTGTTTCCAAGAGACCCCCATCTCAACCTGCACAAAAAAATGATAGGGTACACAGTATAGCATGGGTAAAACACCAAGTACAATGAAAAGAAAGTTCTACAAACATTAATAGAAGATTCCAATCAAACACAACACACTACAAAAAACCTCTGTAGCACCGAGTTCCTAACCAGCTACTCTAATCCTAGTTTTCCAAAGGTTCCTATCTAAAGCCATATCCTCAGTCAGGGTGAGAAGTCCTAAATCATGTCTAATCACCTCCTTCCAATTCTTCTTAGGTCTACCCCTTCCCCTACTTCCCCCGATAACCGTAATCCGCTCACATCTCCGTACAGGGGCGTCAGCATCCCGCCGTCTCACATGACCAAACCATCTCAACCTCGCTTCCCGCAATTTATCTTCCACCGGCGCCATGCCTACCTGACGTCGGATAACTTCGTTCGAAATCCTATCCAACCTTGTCTTCCCACACATCCATCGTAACATCCGCATCTCCGCCGCATGCAGACGACGCNCATGAGTCTTCTTAACCGCCCAACACTCTGCCCCATATAACATAGCAGGTCTGACTACGGATCGGTAGAACTTGCCTTTCATCCTGGGCGAAATTATTGTGTTAAAAATTATTGTACTCTGTCCTGGCAGTCAGTATGAGTATAAATTTAAAAATTAGAGGAATTTATACTTGGAACATTTAACCATTTCTCAAAATTTTAGGCTCCCAACTTTGAAGTAATAACTTATTTATTGAATAAAAAAATTTACCAAGCTTTACGTGGTCAGCACCATAACCTATTTTCTTATCATTTAATAATAACCCAGCTTTTTAAATCTATAGAAGTTATCTGTGAGGCTGGCATAAGAGCTCTAGGCTCAATCTCTATCACTTAAATTATTAGATTACATATAAGGGGCCGGTTCCCCATTCGTAAAATTAACAATTTCTACCCCCCTAATCCTCCCCCCAGTAAACCCCCCCACCCCCTTCAAAGTCAAAATTAACTTGGGGGTGCATTTGAAGGGGGTGGAGGTGTGTTCGGGTCGGGGCAGGGTGAGAGGGTTTACTGGGGTCGGTTTACTGGGTCAGAAGAGGTAGGAATAGTCAATTTTATGAACAGGGAACTGGAACACCACTGGGTCATTCCATGACTTTGATTCCCAATGTCTTGGGAACCAACCGAGTTAGGGGGTTAGAGAGTGTAATTTAATATTTCCATCATCACCTTAATCTCAACTTTGTTTTGAATGTGGTTTTAGTGTCATACGAGGAAGTATTGACTATTGTGCATAGGTTTTGTTCATCTTTTATTTTTTAAATGTGCTTTTTATTGTGGTTTTCATAAGGAAAGCAAATAACTTTCATACACATTGGGTTGACGCACTAACTTAGCACATCTCCTTCGAGGTATGTGAAATGTTTGAATACCATTTTTTTGTTCTTCCTGAATTTAAATAAGCTTTATCATGCTATGAATTCAGCATCATGTCGTGCTATTAGGGCTTAACAATCATGTTCTTTAGTAGGTAACTTTTCTTTAAATTAATTTTTAAAAAATTTGACTGTGTTTAAAAGTATTTTATTATGCCATGGAAGTCAATATTAGTATAATTTTAAAAATTCTATGAATTTATAGTTCCAATAATCATCCATATGTATGAAATCCACAAGAATAAGGTGATCAATTTTTGTCAGAGTGAATTAGAGGAGCAAACTGCATATTATAGAATTGTTTTTGTATATTCCTACACACCATTACCATAGGTAAACCATGGGTTTGGGCGTAGACTACCCTTTTGAAGAAATCGTCTGATCCCCATTTTTCCTTTTCAATTTGAATAGAAAAAGTCAAATTGAATTCTGAATATGAAGGTTATGAACATGTATTTCAACAGTCACTTAACATGTTCTCTCATGACATTAACACACCCTGGTAATTTCTCTTATCATAATCTTTTCATGAACACTCAATAATGTTGTGTGTTTCTGATAATACAATTCTACACTTAATTTGTTTTTCACTTATTTCAATATTTCCCCATTCCAGATGTTCGAAGCTGTACAACAGATCCTTGGTGTCCCATTTGGATCGTACTTTGAGGTGCGTGCTATGCTTGTTTTTAATCTCTATTTGTGTATTTGCTGAAAATTACATATTGTTGGGAAAATATTATAGATTTTGATGATGAGCTATTTAGATTGTAATAGGGACTTAGGCCTCCCCCAATATTCAATGTAATTTTTCTTTTTAGAAATATTGTTAAAACCGAGTTCTTGAGATTTCCAATAAAATTGTGATATTTCATTAAGTGGTTTGATGCTTGAAGACTTAATCAGAAATTGGATATCTTGATCGGAAATGTCAGAGACAAGTAAGGATTTCTCAAAGCAGTTGAAGATCCTCTAATCCGGAACACTACATGATAACCGGATGTCTCGGTTCAACCCGCTGAAGGCTAAGTCATCCGAATCGGAAGACTAGCGCGGATCTCTTTCTCACCCGGAAGTCTATGAATGACTCTTCCGAATGTGTCAGCGAAGAACCGGATGCCTCAAGAAAGACCGGAACTCTCAGAAGCGGACAAGTGAAAAAAGACTTAGAAAATTATCTAAGTTTTGAATGAAGAAATTCTACCCGTTGGTAACGAAAAATCAATCTCTTGATTTTCAACGGCTAGATTGAAGATAATTAAGCTGATTCAAGAACAAATGACTTGAAGACAAAGTCTGGACCTCTCAAATTAAAGAGCTCGCCCAGAATTCCTAAACAAACACTAGAAGACAAACTGAGTAAAGAGCTACAGTCCAGAATTCTTGAACAACAGCTAGAAGACGGATTCTGTGGAAAAAGGAATCCCTCCTCAAACAATTGGGTATGTCCAAACACCCATTCCAATGAGGAATCCTCAATCACAATCTTCATTCAAAATTGAAGTCAGCAAATGCAACGGATACTCTATTTTGATTCAACAGATAGATTACCCAATCCAGGTATAAATAGCATCCTTGGAAGACTGGAGAAAAGATGAACAAGCAAGAGAACACTACAAAGCAATCTCTAACAAGCTATCTCATTCACAGTTATCTCTTTCATTCTTGATAAAGAGAGATTTCTAAACTCCTTATCCAGAAGCAAACTTCTCCTCCTTCCAAAGAGCTATAGTGTAAACACTTAAATGTTTCCTTTCCTCAAGTACCACACCACGTTGAAGGATATAACTTTTAATCAAACTTCTTCATTAAAAGGGGGTACATCAACTTTCTTACAAGTTGATCTTGCAAGTTCTGTTGTTCGGATCTTGCAGCTGTTGAAGAAGCTTGACCTTCGAAGAAACAACAAAGCCAGCACGAGTGCAGTAGCAACATTGGCCTTGCGAAAATATACCGTGCAGAAATTCACACAAGTGTAATTGTTGGTTCATTATTCAACAACCAACTACATAGTGGATTTTGAGGACGTAGAAGGATTACCCCACCTTCGAACCTCGTTAAAGTTTGCGTGCCTCTCTCTTTTATCTTTACTCATACTTGCAATTATACCAACTGTGAAAACTAACCCATCCATATTGACTACTGCTCAATCACCCACCAAATTCCGCGCACAATCTAAAGTTCACAAGAACTCTAGATTAACACTCATTTTCACGTTTTCAAAAAGAAACAAAAAAGTTTTTAATTTGTAACAAAGTCTATTTACCCCCCTCTAGACTTTGTATCTCACCACTTTGGGACCACATATTCTTTTGAGTTAATGTGGTTTACTAGAATCTAACTTTCATGGTTGTGCTTTGAGAACTGAAAATTCTCAAAATCTAGACAACAAGAATTTACAATTCAAAATGAAATACATTTGGCCAATCTTTTCCATAGTTGATTCATGAACACATTGTAGTTAAGATTAAGATCTGGATGACCTTGAAGGGGCATACAAATTGTAAGATTGTTTAACACACATGTAGATATTGATTGTAGGGTGGGTAGGAGATGAAAGTTTTGAAGTGCAAAGTCAAAGTGCTGCACAAGATATTGTTGTGTGCATAAATTAAAAACAAAGGATGCTATAAACAAAGACAAAACTGCAGCATTGAAGAGCAAAGTCAAAGTGCAGCAAAAGACTTCTAAAGACCATTGTTCCTAGATAGCCACTATATTGGAAGAGTTTTCTTCTTAAAAGGTTTGCTTATTGCAATTCTTTGCTCCAAGTTAGAACTCTTGTCGATAATGACATGACATGAGTTATCTTTTCCCTAAATAAGTGTAGTTTCATGCTGGATTGGGATCAATAAAATTTATATTTGGGAAATGGTAGTTCTCTTGTAACCTGCTGTATTGGCTGATTTATAATTTGTGATTTTTATGAAACCCGGTCCGTCTGCAGAATCACACACTTGTAGATTTCTTTGCTTAGTCTGGTCACTAATTTATCTGCCTTTCTTTTGTATTTGTCCTGTTGAATGGAGTACAACAACACACTGATGTTTAGGATTTCTTTTTGAGTAAATTTGACTTCATGCTCTGTTATTTAGTAGAACCATTATGATTTTTGCAGACTGTTTGACATCTTCTTAGCAGGGGAATGAAGATTTATTTATAGTTCATGATCCTCTAGAATATGGAAACTGTCAATCATCTCAAATTGGGAGTAACAATGAGCTTTTTATAGAAAAACATTCAAATTGTGTCATGTTATGTGCATTCCTATCACCTTTAGTATTCTTCCAATAATAATGACGTGCGACTGGAAATGCATGTGCGTATCTGCAGATACCAAAGTATGGAATATTCGAGAATGTGAACTCATTGAAGGATTTAGCAGAAATGCCACATTGGATACCTGAGGGACCCTTGAGAGTAGCTAAGGTGTACTGCAATGTGACATATTCATCTTCTTTTTCCCACATACAGAGTATATATTATTGTGGTCACAATTATTATGTTTAAGTTTGATGATATTTTTCCCTTAACATCCTTCATTTCTTTCACAGATGGGGCCCAAGTTTATGAATGAAAAAGGACTAAATCATGTTACCTTTACAACTCCAGATGGAGTACTGAAGGCTACTCCAGCAGTAAGACCAAATTTAACTATTTTAAACAGATTCAGTTTTCTCAAGTCCTGTCTTATTGAGATTGACTGTGAGTTTTCTTAAGTCCAGTCTCATTAAGATTGACTGTTTGTATTGTACTACGTATATAAATGAAATAATTCTCTTTTTCACAAATCGATTACTGCGCTTGATGTTAAGACTCGCCTGAGAGCCATGTTTGTTTTTCCTATATTTGTTGCATAAAAGAAATACTCCCTCTGTCCCCCATAGATCTTCTCATTTGCCCTTTTTATTTGTCCCACATAGATCTTCTCATTACCTTTTTTAATAATTAAAATACCACAACTACCCCCACTTACTTTATTTATTACACCTTTTCCACTTTATTTAATACACCCCACCCATTTTCATTAAGGGTATTTTGGTAAACTTTCACCTTTTTTCAACTCTCCTAAAAAACCGTGAAAAATCAAATTGAGAACATCTTACATGGACGGAGGGAGTATGTTGTTCTATTTTAGATGTTATGGTTTGCTCTTTGAAACTTTATCACATTTGTTCTTTTCCAGCATTTCTTTTGGTGATCTTTAAATACATTCGCACTTTCAATTTCTTTTGAGTATGTAAAAGTTTTTTTAAACCTATCATGGTTCCCTAATGTATGGGACAACACTGGGTAGGTTGTTGTTGCTGTTATCATTTCCTCATTTCTTCCTAATATAGATGGGGATAGTCGATGCAATTCTAGACCTTGTGAGCAGTGGAACAACTTTGGGAGAGAACAATGTGAAAGAGATTGCAGGTGGAGTCATCTTGCAAATTCAGTTAATTTTTCAGCCTCTAGTGCTAAATGCTAATGGGTTAATGTGTTCTACTAATGTCAATGTGGAGTGTTTATTACTCAAAAAGTTATTGATTGAGACTAAATTTACTAGGGAAAGAAAAGGTTTTGAAAAATATGTATACACTATTGATAATATTTCATGTGTGTGAATGTTAGAAATAGATATTCATAGGCCGTCACGTTTGGGTAACAAATGTTCCTGACTATCATTTGCAAAACCCTTTTATGATACATAATACATTATATAGTGCAATGGCCCTTTGACCTCATTAGTTTCCAAAGATCATTACCGCCATTATAAAACACTAGAACAGTCATCATAAAATATTAATAGTGTCATTTTGGTATTGCGGTCAAAGGGACATTGCACTGTATTATGTTATAAAATATTAATAGTATCATTTTAAAACAAGTTTTCGGCTCATATTGACGGCCAGGCACATTTTCAAGGGATGTAGAGTTCCAAAATTTGCATAGTCACATATCCTGATTATGACATATTAGTACAACACCTGATGGACGTAAAATATTATGATTAATATTTCTGCACAGGCGGTCCTTGTTGCGAGCAGGAAATCATTGACACGTAAGGATGTGCTAGATATAACACATGAAGTGCTTGAAAGGCTAGAGGCTTATTTGCGTGCTTCGGGGAAACTCTGCAGAGGAAGTAGCTGAGCGCGTACTGAGCCGAAATTCCTTATCAGGGTTGCAGGTACGGACTAAGAGTGTTACTAAACAGTTTAATAGAGCAGAAAACTATCTTACTACCCTTTGACAGAGGGATAGTAATCACAGTCCATAAACTGTTAGCTACTCAATTCCCAACTAACTTAGGCATGCCTTGTTCATATAAATCAATGTATGGGCCCACAGTAAGTCCAGTATTTTGCAAACGAAATGGCCAAGTAACTCCTTTAACTCTTAATACTAAGACATCTGATTTTTTTGAAACACAAGATAAAAAGAGAAAGAGTTTATGAATTAAAATTAAATGAAGAGTTTCAAATGGTATGCTCACTCTTTGAAATTGAACCAGACTCCTTTAACTCTTAATACTAAGACTTCTGAATATTTTAAAACACAAGATAAAACGAGAGAAGTATTTTATGAATTAAAATTAAATGAAGAGTTTCAAATGGTTGAAACAGACCTTCCAAATCAAACGGAAGGTAATGGACTAGATTTTGAGAAGCAATCAGAGTTTGATTGGGAATATGATTTCAAGATGATGAGACTAATTTAAAGAATAAAAAGAATTAGATTTCTAATATTTCTCCGATGAACTTGAAGACAGATTAAGTGCTTTTGAAACTGTCACATATAACATTCAAGGTCATCTTCAAAATCAGTGTCAAATTTAAAATTTTTCTAATGAAGTGGAAAATATCAGTTCTAAACCTGAAACTGAAGTTGACATTGAAGCTAAAATTGATGAGTCCAAAAGTGCTTTCAAAAGTTTTGGTTTTGAAGAGGAGAGATCACCCAATATTCAAAATAAAATACACCAAAAAGAGACAAACAAGATTTGTACTGGTGAATTGAATACCCTAGTGAAAATTGAAAACGAGGAATATACTTCATGACCAGGGAGCTATTTCAAATGGGTTTAGTATGGCTCATCTTCTTGGAAATATAGAGATTATAGGCAAGCTGCTAGGTGAATCTAGTATTGAAAACAAAATGGCTTTTGAGAAATCTGTTGAGCAAAACATCTTGTTGAAACTCTTTGGAAACATTGAAAAGAACTTCCATAATATTGGAAAAATAAATATTTTAAAAAGGAATGGGTGTGATAAGTTTGAAGGATCTAGGGCTAAGGGAGAATTGATTAAAGAGCTTGGAGAAGATTGTTGCTTGGGACTTGATAAACTTTTTAGAGAAAATGATTTTATTTTGTTTTCTAAACATGCTGAAAAAGATGAGCAGTTAGTTTTCTAAGGGAGAATTGATAAAAGAGCTTGGAGAAGATTGTTGCTTGGGACTTGATAAACTTTTTAGAGAAAATGATTTTATTGTGTTTTCTAAACATGCTGAAAAAGATGAGCAGTTAGTTTTTTAAGAAATCCCACAAGCTCAATATGCCAAGAAAAATACAGTAACGAAGGAGCACCAGATTGAACAACCTGGGTTTTAACTAAGTGTGGGGGAGAACAAATTAATTCTTATTCCATACATCACACCCCAGTTTCTTTGAATCCTGAGATGATTTCTATTCCTTATTCCTTAAAGAGCTTCATTTTTGGAAAGGAAATGATTGGTCTTAAGGATTGTATGAATGGTATTTTTATGTTTCTAAATGATGAGTCCACTAATAAATCTTTGGTTTCAAATGATTTTGATTTCAAAAGGACTAAGTCTTCCATCTTTGAAGAATCTGTTGTAACACAAAATTTAGTTCCCTCTATTGAACTCAAAATTATTTCAACAAGAATTAAAGAAGCAACATGGTTTGATGCAGATTTAAACCCTTTTCCTAATGAAAAAAGGGACACACTTTCACCTTGCAGGTGTAAAATTGGTGAAACAGTGAGTCCCTCTTAACCCTTTTCTCTCTTGGTCCCACTCTGTTTTGTGCTCATATGATAATCTCACTCCCATTCTCTCTTGGCTGAATTCTATAACTTGTCCAGTTGAAATCTCCATCTCATTCTTTCTTGGCTCACATCTAAGTTTTCATTTAGTTGAACTCCCAACCCCTTCTTTGCTTGAGTATGACATGATGTTATTTTTCATTACACATTCATGCGCTGAGGACATTGCATCATTTAAGTGTGGGGGGGCGGTGGGGATCCATTATTGGAAGTTTGAAGTCTAAGGTCTAATGGTTGAATTGCTGATTACTGGTTTTAAATTCTGTTTTAAATTCTGTTTTGGTATGTTTAAAAAAACAGATCTTAAATGTGACAGCTTTTGGTCTTAAATGCTGAAATTTTTTTAAAAATTAGTGAGTTTTTAGAGCTTAATGCTTAAGCGACTATTTTCATCACCGAGAAGACCTAATCCGATTGTCGTCTCCGGCGAGTTGGAGGACACGGATAACACTGTTCGACTCCTCTCACTCAGCTTTTTCTGGTTCTGTGAAGATCGCAAGAAACCAAGCAGTAGGAGGATAAGCCGAGGGAGAGACAGCCGTATCCACATTGCAGCCAAGGACTTTCAATTTCCGATGAGGAACACCGCCAGGATACTCAGGGTATAGCGTTTAAAACCTTAACTCATCATTATCTTGGTTCCAAATTTGAAAAGTTGTAGGGGTCAGTGTAGATAATCCTATGGCTTAGTTGCGTTGTAAAACCTTGTTCGGCAGATTTTGTGTTTTTGTGAATCTGAGTTGCTGTTTTTTTAACTTGACCCTAGATGGTGCAACTTCTCATGTCGTTGTGTATCTTTCATCAACGATTAGAAAAAACTTTCATTGCATCTGGATTGGAATTTTTCTACTTTATCAGCGCAATAGGGGTGGAGACGTGAATGGTAGATAGCATTAGCTACTTTAATGCATCATTTTTTACATATTTACCCCTAAATACCTATTTTGTGCGCGTGTGGTATTCCTTTCCATAAACAACACGGTAGTTTATTATCAAGACTTTTAAATCTGAGCCGTCTGATGCACTGAATCCAATGGTCAAGAAGTATTCTCATTTCTCTCCACAAAGCTCACCACACTACACTACAAAGCTCACCGACAATGCAAAGCTCACCAAAGTGTAAGGCAAAGCTCACCATATTTTTTCAACACTTTGAATTTTTTTCCAAAAAAAAATCAAAGGAAGGGGTGCTGACTGAACTTTGACTGTTGACCGCCAGCATTGACCGCCGCCTGCCACCGGCCGCCGCCGTCGCAGTCGCCGGAATCCGGTCGCCGTCGCCAGAATCCGGTCTCCGCCGCCGCCGGTCGCCGTCGCCGGACTCCGGCCGCGCTCCAGCCGCCACTGCTGCTCCGCCGCCTTTGACCGGTGGTTGACCGGTGTTGTTATTTTATTTTTAATTAATTTTTTAATTTTTAAAATTTAAAAAAAAGGTGAGTTTTGGGGTTCAAAGTGGTGAGCTTTGCTTTATTTCCAGGTGAGCTTTGCATTGTCCATTGGTGAGCTTTGTAGTGTAGTGTGGTGAGCTTTGCGTCATCTGACCAAAGCATGTCATCTCATTGTAAGGTGTCATCCCACTGGAGTCCATCCCATATATATATATATATATATATATATATATATATATATATATGGAGGCATTTCTAGAGAGAAAGAGGAGCGGCGATTATGGAGTTCCTAAATTCCGACGAACAGGTCTCTCCCGCCGGCCAGATAAAATCCCTTACTATACTTATATCACTCATAATAAGAACAAGTTTGGGTTTCACTCAAGACATTTCCAGCGAGCAACGAACATCAAGCGGATCTACTACCATCGACAAAGGGAGGCTCCAACTCAAAGTGGAAGATGGCCATTCCGAGATCCAGACAAAAAGGACAAGGAAGATTCATACGTTTTAAGTGACTCCAGAATAGTATTCAACACATATGAAGCCGAAATCACAGTTTCAAAAGCCAGCCTTAATCGCAAATTCAAGTTCAGGACACAAACTAAGGTATTTGAGTTTTTTCATTCACACTACAACAACAATATCTGTATTTCAGATTATGGATTCAGAAATTATCATATGTGGTTTGATATGGATACTACCAAATGGATCTTGGAATCAATGTCTCTTTTTTCGAAGAGGAGATGTTGGGTGACTTCTATGAAAGACATAAATAGAAGTATTGAGCTAACCCTGGGTTCTAATAAAAGAGGAAATTATGTCAAAATCTTTGAGAGAAGAAGAGAGGGAAGGAGATTTTTAATCATGCCTTTTGATTCACACAAGGATGGACCAAAATTATTTTTCAGGGCACTCTCTTCATTCATCCATAGAGCTTCTAATTCAGAAGCTACTCCAGCAGCTAGTGCTCCAACGGTGGATGCCACACAACTCCTGGAACATCAGCCTATCTCCCCAACTCCGCTCTTGGAACTTTGCACACCAACTCAGCATACACAATATTCCAAAACGAAGGAGATTGACGAAACCCAGAAGATTGACAAAACAAACCATTCAAGCACAAAGGATAATATTATAGACAAAGGAGGGTCATAAGGCTTCACTAGTTCTCCTTTGACAGAAACTACCCTTGCTGAGAGGCAGATGATTACTTATGAGGGAGAAGAAGAACCTGAATACAACATTTCGGACTCATACACTGAATCATTTCCACCACTGCCAAGAAGGATGTTATCCCCATATGCCCCTGCATTTTTACCACTTTCAAACAACACATTTGCTGCTCTTCTCAATCAAGATCCTGAGTGCTTGGAGGAAGAAGATCCTTTTTCAAAGATTAATGAACAGAGTCTGGTTCTATACTCTAATGCAGTGGAAGATCATGCAAAGGAGAGGGATGGGCCAATTCTTTACACCCATTCAGAGGGCGAGGATTTAGTGTTCATAGATACTAAGCTTAAACCCCTGAAAATAGACCTTTCAAGATGCTTCAAGCAACCATTTAATCTGCGCAAGGAACTCAAGGGCAGAAGGACCTTCTCACCTTCGCAAATTGTTACAAGAAGTAAGGCTAAAATACTAGAAGAAGGGAGGAGGATCACACCTATTGGCTGGGAAGAGGAACAAGAGATGCTTGATCCACAGCAATCCCATGAAGAGGAGGTAATTGATTTCTTCAAGCTCTGTTGTCCTAATAAAAAAGAAGGGCCTAAACCTTCTAAAAAGCCATTAAGCAAAAGTCAGAAAAAGAAATTGAAGAAGAAAAAGAAACAGAGCCCGATAAGTGATATGGGTAATGAGGATGAAGACTTTTATGACTTAGACTATTCTTGTTGAATAATGGTGTCTCTAGCAGATTTTAATTTAAACATTTGAGTGTTTAAGTTGGATTGTTTGCTTTATACTTGCGTAGCCTGATGTAGTAGTTAACTTTTGATAAAGTTGGGTCAATGAAAATGGAGCTGCTGTTATTGGACTTTTAGCAACTACATACGTAGGCAATGAGGTTGGAGTTTGGGAAACTTTTGGATGAAGTGGAGCAGGTACCATATGGGGTTTGCCATTTTGATAGTTGTAGCAGAATAGAGAAGTAGCAACGAACAGAATTATGCTTCATTTAGAAGGACTCTTGATCAGGTCATGGTATTCTTATTGGTTCAACCGTCGAAGATGCAACGTGCCCTAGTACAGGCTAGACCTGAATCTAACTACTGGCTTAGCTTACCTTCAACCACATAACAGGCTTCACTTTCATCTTTCATTTTAGCCATTTTTACCATCCCAACCTCTTGTAGTGTATTAGGTTTGATTACAGGTTCTCTTGGAGATCAGAAATTTTGTTTATCTTCTATAGATATGCATCTTCTTGGGTGCAAAGAACATGCCTCTACAGAACTGACCTGCAGCAGTATACTATGAGCTGGAATTTTGATTCTCTCTGTTGTCTTCACACCCAGTGTAGGATAAGGGGACTTCGGTGGTATCAACATCAATGCTTTGGCAGCTTTGCAGAACCAACAGATTACTACTGTTTCTCATCTTTTGGACTTTTATTCTTGTTGCTTCGTAGTAGTATATAATGTATTTCTTTGGCAGTAGTAGCTGGCTTCTTTCTCATTTTCTCCTTTTGTTATTTTGGCCGTATTGTAGGGGTTCTTTTGGCCACCCCACCTTTGTAACTTTTTCTTTTATCCTCTTTAATAAAATTTATTTATATATATATATATATATATATATATATATATATATATATATATATATATATTTATATATATATATACTTTGGTTCAAATAAGAATGAAATCTAATGAAAGAAATAAGAATAAATTTTAACCATTAGATCTAAAGAGATTAATACAATCTCCCCAAGGTCATATTTGGGTTTTCAAAGTAACCCCTTTCTCTCTCCATCATCTATTCTCATCGTCTCCAAAATTGTAGCGCACGATTCGCTCTATCACTCATCATCTTCTATTATCTTATCACCAATTGAATCTCAAAAGGGAATGGAAACTAGAGGATCTGTCACTAGGTGCGGAGGCTAGAATCTTTTCTCAAAGTACTGCTCACAGTCTTTTCTAGCCCTTTGCCTCATTGATTTACTGGAGTTTTGGTGCAATTCTTGGAGCATTTGGATCGTTTTCAGCAAAGGATTCCAATTTAATGTTTAATTTTGCTGAGTTGAGGCTGATATAGCAGAATCATTTTAATTGAGGTTAACTCTTCTTCTTTTTTCTTAAACGATTTACAACAATTTATTTTTGTAAATTTTTACTTAATTTGATTTTGATTCTTGATTAAATTCTTTTCATATTGTTTTCAAAACTTTGATTTTTCTCCTGCAATAACATATTAGTTGAATATAGCAGGTAGTTCTTCAACTTTTTTATTATATAGTTTCATTATTTTCTGTTTTGGTTTACTTTATTCATGAGATGTCATTTTAATAGTCTAATAATGCACTTCATATTTACGATACTGCACACATTTACGAACTCTATATTCACTTTGGGTTAACTCTGTCCACAACTTACTTTTTACTCTTTTACTTTTACTTATGTTGGGAAATTCTGTTAAATGAATGTCCCAATGCATTTCAAACATTACGATTGAATTTGGGGATTTCTTGTCTTGGTCATGTTTTTGTTAACTCTCGTGATTTCGCTCATATTAATGGATTATATTTCGTGGTTCTTTATCATTTGATTTAATTATTTCATTATTATCTGGTCTGGACAGTTTCATTTATTATTATCTGGTGTGTTGTGAAATTTTTATGTCAAAACCCCTTTTTATGTCTTCTTTTATGCTAGTCTGCATTGGTGTGTTGTGAAATTTTAAGATTTTCTTCTATTAGACATAGCATTGTAGAACACTAGTACTGTACTCCACCCCTTTGTATACTGCATTTACGTTGAGCACAACCCCCACATCCAGTCACATTTCAAGGCATAGAAAAAAGAATGTAAAACATTTGTGGATTGTGGTTATATTGTTATATTCTTGGAAATTGTTGGCCATGATAATGTTGATTGGACAATTTGGTATTAAATAGGGATGTACATTATTGTTTGTTTGTTTTTTTTTTGTTTTTCTTTACTTTGCTTTTTTCTATCATTGTGCATTATTGAATCAAGTTAATGCATTTATAAAAGAGGGCAATACGTTTTCAAAATCAAGCTAAAGGATAATATAAAATCAAAATTGATGCATCTTGGGGAGTATTTCTGATGCATTTGTATATTGTACATAGTGATTTTTTCGCAAATGATGATGCACTTAAAATTTTCTGTTAAATTCTCATCTTAAAATCTATATTTAATAGGCCTAAGTGCAAGTTGTGAGTCCCTTTAAAAAAAATTGGTGCCTATTAGCTCAAATGGTAGAAAAGTATGTACTACGGTTGTATTATAACCGTAGCAGTACATACTACGGTTGTACTATCATTGTGCATTATTGGATCAAGTTAATGCATTTATAGAAGAGGGCAAACATTTTCAAAATCAAGCTAAAGGATAATATGGAACCAAAATTGATGCATCTTGTGGAGAATTTCTGATGCATTGTGATGATGCACTTAAAATTTTCTATAAAATTCTCATCTTAAAATCTATATTTAATAGGTCTAAGTGCAAGTTGTGAGTCTCTTTCAAAAAATTGGTGCCTATTAGCTCAAATGGTAGAGCAGTACGTACTACGATTGTGGGTTCGAATCCCGCATAGGCAAACTATTTCTCAAATTTGTATTATATTTATTCTGAATACAATACATTCTTAAGCTTTTTCACCTCACAAAAAGTTACTCAGGTGTCATTATTCACTAATTCACAAATTAATACAAAAATTAAATAAAATATAAAAGCAAGACACAATGCATATATCAGCTAGCATAGTGCAATAACATTAAAAATTCTATAAATTTTTAAATTTTTACTTTAAAATGTGTGCAACTTATAATAAAATGTGATAATATAAAAAAACCAAATATAGTTAACCAAAAAATGATAAAAATAACATGACAAGAAAGTATTATTTATAAATTTGAAAAAAAAACAAAGTAAATAAATAAATCTTTTCCATCGTGTGAAATGCATTAAAATAATGCATATGAGGAATAAATACAAAAAGTATTTAATATTAATTTTTATTGAAGAAAATTGGCAAAAAAAATAAAAATTGAAAAAATAAAAAAAAGATAAAAACGTGACAAGAGATCCAAAAAGAATCTAAGTGGAAGTCAAATGCTATAGAAAGCATTAATTTTGGAAATGGATAGTTGCGTGTCATCCATGACCATTTTAAATGCAATACGATTTTACAACATTGCCCCTATTACTCTTTGATTTTAATTCACAATCAACGAATTGATTTCCTTACCTTATAAAATCTAGTGGTGTCGTCCATTTTGTAAAAGGATTCCATCCATTGATCGTTTGAGATCAATGGATCTCATTCATTCTTATCTCTTTCGTAGAAGATCATTCTTATTAGAACCCACCCATATATATATATATATATATATATATATATATATATGGGCCCGTTCACATGAGAATGGGTCCCAATGAAAGAAATAAGAATAAAGGGTGTAGGTTGATATTTATGATCTAACGGATGATTTTTTTTTCATCAATAAGCACCATGCGTCCATTCTCAAATTGGAAGGCATTAAATGATGTGTGCAAATATGACGATGTTAAGATTCTTTCTTTGGGGTAAATGTGTGTGCAAATTGGAAGGCATTAAATGATGTTAAGATTCTTTCTTTGGGGTAAATTAGTAATCTCGTGACTAATTTGACAGTTCTAATATGACGATGCATTGGAAGCGTAAACTAGATTCTGGGACATCCGCCTATTACAATTAGGTCTAATTATCTGGTGCATTCTTAACTTATAATAGTGCATAGAGCAATGCTAGGGGTACACCAAAGGTGTACCCCAATTGTACATCACATGCTTTTCCACTACACATCTTTATTTGATTTTTATTTTTTTAATTTTTTTTGAATCTCTTGCTTATTATTGTGGACAAGGAGGGAGTGAGGGACAATTAGAGTACACCTTTGGTGTACCCCTAGCATTTTTCTAGTGCATATTGTTGAAGTTGCTGTAGTTTACTTTTGGTCCATGCATTAAATGAAACTTTGTGGTGCATTCTTAAATCTGGCGAGTGCATTCGTATCTCTTACTGTAATGCATCCTAGTAATGTCAGGCCCAAACAAACTCAAAAATGAATTGCCAATAATAGAAATTGATTTCTCCAAAATATTGAAAATTTTACCCAGCGACCACTAGCGACGAAAATATATTATGTTTCCCCTCCTTTTTGATTTGTGGAATTGAACAAAAATGAAAATTTAGAATAAATATTCTAAAGGCTTAATCGGACATTGGAGAGATTGAGAGAAAGATGAGAGAGTGGACTCGTGCGCTAATTTGGCGGAGACTATAAATAAATTAAACAGAAGAAAACGTAGACACAGCAAAAGAACAAAAATACCCCTGCTAATTGAGGATGCGGTGACAGTAGATGTCTCTAATCCAACAGCCCTAATTCATTCTCAATTCTCTCATTAGATCATATTTCTCTCTCTCTCTCTCTCTCTATATATATATATATATTGGTTCTGGTGAGAATGCAATCTTAGGAGAGAAATGAGAATGAATCTGGTGCTTTAGATTGTGAGATCTAAGGGTCAAGATTTCATCAAAATTAAATGCACCAAAATGGTGCGAAAATGCATCACGTCGAAATGCACCATAAACCTTCAAAAATGCACTATCTCAAAATCTGAGCGTAGCATGCAATCTGAGCCGCACGATGCATCAGATCCGACGGCTAGATTTTATATATATATATATATATATATATATATATATATATATATATATATATATATATGATGGCTAGAGAGAGATGGCTGGAGTTCTCTCCACTTCCGGTCAATCTCACGGCTAGTTCACATTTCCAGTCCAATTTCAAGAATGGTGCTCATCAAAAATCATCAAAGAACAAGTACACGCATAGTAATGTGAACAACCAGAAGGAGTTTCTTTACTAGGGATCTGGGCAACAAAGAGCGTCTACTCAATATCCTAATACAAAGAAACTATTCAGTCAGCTGTTCAAAGAAGATGGAATCCAAGCTCTTGGCAGAGTGGAAGGCTGCTTTAAGGGCATGCCTTCTGCCTCCTTCACCCTGGACGAGGAGAGACAACTTAATGGAAACCTCAAACACGCTGTTGTTGGTAGGACCAGCAACTTCATTCAGCCCAGGATATCCATGATTTCCTTGTAGGCATTGGATTCATTGGGGGATTCAGACTTCGAATGTTCAGCAAAAAAGATGTCCTGATTATATTCAACAATGAAGAGGAATACTTTAGATTCTTCATTAGAGGTAAATGGTTTATCAACAATATCAAAGTTTATGTATTTAAGTGGTCTCCAGAGTACTGTGCTAACAGGGACTGTCCTATAATTCCTCTTTGGGTAACTATTGGTAATCTCCCTACCCACCTTCTAAATTTCAAAGCTCTCTTCACCATAGCTAGTACTCTGGGAAAACCTCTCCTTATGGACTCACAAACTTCAAATCTGATTCGTACTGAAGAAGCTAGATGTTGTATTGAGATTGATATCTCACAACCTCTCCCACCCAAGATTCATTTAAGAATTGGCCCTAGGGACTTGGAACTTAATTGCAGTTATGAAGATGTGCCAGGATTCTGCACCCTCTGTCACAAACTTGGTTCTTCAAACTGTATCTGCAATATTCATGGACAATCATCAAAATCTGATTTTTACTCCTCCAGCAACAGTAAAAAATGGAATTATCTAAGGAAGATTTTGGTTGGAAAGAGGTGAAAAATAGAAAATTTTCTAGCAAGGGTAAGGGCTCCTTTCCTGCCAACTGGTGGGACCCTAATTGCGGGATTGGAAAAAAAAAGGTGAATGATGGCTGGATATTAGATAAGACATCTAAGAAGTGCCAGGCTACACATTCACATATTCCACACATTAAGGACAAAGATGATGGCTGGACATTGGGAGTTAAACCCAAGAGGGGCCAGGTGACACATCTAAAGCCTCCACATGTGTGGAAACACGTCAGTAAGCCAACAGCAATCAAACAAAATTTCTTACCTGTCTCTGGGCTTCAAGACCCCTCAGTAGTCTCAGGATCAGCTGTGGAAACAGCTGTAGCTACTGAAATGGTATACCCTGTAACCCCACTGCCTATTGATTTGCAACCAGACAAAGAGGAAGAAGCCAAAGTACAGGAAACATCCCCAGAGCTTGATTCCCAATCCCCTTGGTCTCTACCCTCCCTGTTCAAGGTCCATGACCATTTCCCTTCCTTCCCAGCTGCCAAGTCTTTTGCATCTAAGATTTTCCTACAACTTGATAAAAAGGAAGATACTTATATTGATGACTCGTTAAGCAAAAATGGGGACCTCATGGCTAATAATCCTCTAAGTCAAAACGTCAGTCTATATAGCAAGGGTTCAAAAGATGACTCTTACATGACCCATACTGATCTACTGGATATTGAAGACACAGATTCGGAGATTGATAAACCTGAAGCTGGATTCCACTCTGAAGGGGAAGCAGAACCCACTATTTGGATCAACTCCAATCTGATTCCTTTTGAACTTCCTATGCCTAAAAATGCTCAACCTCATTACCCATTCCCAAGGCATCTAAAGAAGCTAGGAAAGCCCCTGATCGAACAATTATGACAAGAAGCAAAACCCAGGGAAGAGAAGGAACACAGAAAAAGTTTTTATGAATTGTTTATTCTGGAATGTCTGTGGTGCTGCATCCTCACTAAATAGGATGAAAACTCTGATAGCTACGAATAACATTTCTTTTCTTTGTATTATTGAACCTATGGTTGACGATAACAAAAGAGACTGGTACAAGATCAGTTTGGGTTTTACTCACTCTATAAGAGGGCTCAACAACAAAATTTGGTTATTCTGGAATTCAATTTCTCTGGAGCTCCTGAGCTTCAAGGAATTTCATCAGTTTGCAAACTGTGACTTTTGGAACTCCAAGCTTCACACTAAAATTTCAATATCTTCAGTTTATGAAGGACATACTACTGCCACAAGAAGGTTACTGTGGGAAGATTTGACTAGTCTGAGCACTATTGACCACCCTTGGGTTGTAGGGGGAGATTTCAATACTATTCTAAATCCCCATGAACACAAAAGGGACTCTACCCCTAACCTTCTTGATATGGAAGATTTCAGGAGTTGCATTGATGCGTGTGGTCTTCTTTCACCTCCCTTCTCTGGTGGTATTTTCACTTGGACTCATGGTAGTCAAACTCTAGATTCTACGTAGGATCGATAAGCATAATGAAGATCGTAACATCGTAAGATCGTGACTCGGATCGTAAGATCCTACTATATATATATATATATATATATATATATATATATATATATATATATATATATATAATGTTTTAAACTTTTAATTAAATTTTAATAAAACATAACATAAGTTCAAATTGGATCACAAATGACTTAAAACTTTATTCTTATCAAGAGAAAAAAACTGAAGGAAGGCTGATAAGCAGAGAGGTCTCGATTCCCAAATAAATAGAAGAATACTCTGTTTCCGATCGAAACAAAGGGAGATAAATAAAGGGAGAAACTAAGCTGCTTTCCTATTGAAATAAATAAATAGAAGAAGATACGGTGCTTTCCTATTGAAATTAGGAATAAATAAAGGGAGATACTCTGTTTCCGATCGGAATTGGGAGTCGCAACAGATGCGACTTTCCAATTGCAATTCCAGACGCGATTGGAAGGAGATTTTGAAGAGACGCTGTTTGGGCTTCGCAGACTCGGCGATTGAACCCGATCCTGCGTTTCTGCGCGTCGAATCGTCGATCCAGACGATTCCATGGAATTCGCGATTCTGCAGCTGTCTTGGATCGGTAAGGTACCGGCGATCCTCAGAATCGTAGACTCGTACGAGTCAACTCGCGAGTTTGACTGCCATGCTTGGACTGGTGTTAGAAGCAAAGGTAGGCTTTGGAGGAGGCTTGATAGGGTGCTAATAAATTCCACTTTTTCAAATTTGTTCTCTGATATTAGTACCTGCCACCTAAGCAAAACTACGCCCGACCATAAACCTATTCTACTCCAAAGTATTGAAGATGGATTCAAAAGTCCTAAACCTTTCAGATTTTTAAATGTATGGACCACTCATCACACTTTCCTTACCATGGTCAAAGAGTACTGGGATTCGAGTCCAAGAACTGGAGGAATGTCAGGATTGGCATACAAGCTTAAAGGGCTTAAAGCTATCCTTTCTAAGTGGAATAAGGAACATTTCGGGGATATCTTCAAAGATGTCATTAAGAATGAATTAAAGGCTGCTAAAGCTCAGAAATTGTTTGAAGATTACCCCACAGAAGATAACAGGACTGCTTCTAATCTGGCTTCTGCAGAGCTTATCATTAGCCTCAATAGAGAACTTGGATACTGGAAGCAAAAAGCCAATATTAAGTGGATGAAGGATGGGGACTGCAACTCAAAATTTTTCCACTCCTATGTTAAGGGAAAGAGATGTAAATTATCTATAAGGTCTATTGTGGACAGTAGTGGTAAGATCCTTAACACTCAGGAGGACATTAGCGGAGAGGCAGTCAAGTTCTACAAAGAATCTTTCTCTCAAGTGTCCTATCCTGAAACCAATCTGATATCATCTTTTATCCCAAAAGTGATCAATGATCATGACAATCTTTCTATCTGCTACCTGCCTACAGAAGAAGAAATCAAAAAGGCTGTTTGGGAACTTAACCCTGACAGTGCTGCAGGTCCTGATGGTTTCAATGGACACTTCTTTAGAACTTTTTGGGACATCATTAAGAGGGATGTTATCTTGGCATGCCTGGAGTTCTTTCTGGGTTTTCCTGTGCCTAAATCTTTTGGGAGCACACTTATTACACTTATACCTAAAAAGGAAGACCCTAAAAGATTTGGGGACTATAGACCTATCTCTCTATCGACCTTCATGAGTAAGATTAATAGCAAAATCTTGGCTAATAGATTGGGTCCTTTACTTCCTAAAATTATCTCCGAAGAGCAAACTGGGTTCCAAAAACATAAAGGTGTTGAAGAACAGGTTCTCTTGGCAGAAGAGATGATACACATGATTGACAAAGATGTTAGAGGGGGAAACTGTGTGGTTAAACTGGATATGGCCAAGGCCTTTGACCGAGTGGAGTGGTCTTATCTTAGGCAGGTGCTTGAATGCCTAGGGTTTCAATGGAAAAGCTCAGAATCTGTTAATGGCCAATCTAGAGGGGGCTCATATCTCCATCCTTGTTAATGGCAGCCCATCTGGATTTTTCCAAATGAAAAGGGGGGTTAAGCAAGGTGACCCACTCTCACCTTTACTATTTCTTTTAAGTAGTGAGGGGTTCTCTCGAATGATCAACTTCTACATGAGCAATAACTCCTTAGGCCACTTTAATACTGGCAACCTCCCTATGGTCAGTCACTTGGCCTTTGCAGATGACTTAGTCATTTTTGTGAATGGTGCTTCAAACAACCTTAAGAAACTCAGGAAGATTCTTGATGACTACCAAAAGGCCTCAGGTCAAGAGGTTAACTTGTCTAAAAGCTGCTTCTACACAGGAAAAAAAGTTCATCCACACAAAATCATTAACATGTCTCAAAGCCTGGGGATGGCCAATGGTTCACTACCATTCACCTACCTGGGAGCTTCCATTGGTGAGGGGCAAGCTTAAGAAACACCATTGCACTAATCTCTTAGCCCATTTTGATAAATACCTTAACTCTTGGTATAGCAAAACCCTCAACCCTATGGGCAGACTAGTACTCATTAAACATGTTCTCTCTTCAATACCTCTCCACATTTTAGCAGTGCACACCCTTCCTCAATCTATAATCAGGATCCTACACATGAAGATGGCTAATTTCCTATGGGGCTTCAGGGAAGGAAAACCTAAATATCACTGGGGTCAGTGGAAAACATTATGTACCACATATGATGAAGGTGGCTTGGGAATCAGAAGCTTGGAGGATATTCAAGAAGCTTACTCTATGAAACTGTGGTGGAAGGTGCAGACAGGGGAGAGCAAATGGGCCAGATATATGAGGGAGAGGTATCTAAGACAGAATATTATTAAAGAAAGGGTTATTGACTCTCCAATTTGGAAAAGAATTTGCAGGGTTGACATCAAAGCTTCTGATCATATTCTAGTGAAGGACAACCAGATTACCTGGAGGGATGGGGGCTTCTCTCTCACAAAGGCATACAACATCTGCAGGGATGCTAACACCACACAACTCAGCTACTCCTACTGCTGGAATAATTCCCAAATTCCTAAGGTGAAATTCTTCCTTTGGAGAGCCTTAAAGAACCTACTTCCATTCCACAACAACCTGAGAAAAATGGGATATCACCTAGCTTCAAAATGCCCCTTGTGCAATCGGAAGGAAGAAACAACTGATCACATACTTCTTCAATGCCCTTGGAGTCAAGAAATCCGGAAATTCTTTGCTGATTCTCTTCAGGGTCCTAATCCTAGGCCTATGCTTACACTCAACCAACACATTATGGAATGGAATCTGTCATACAGAAAGAAAAATCTTAAAGGCAACCTGCGCCTGATTCTTCCGGGAATCATTGCCAGGCAGATTTGGAAGGAATACAACAGAATTAAATATGATAATGGCACCCCTAACTCCTTTAAGGTCAAGAAGGGTATACTGGAAACAACACATTCATGGAGCTGGACAAAGAGAAAGAAAAAATGGATGATCAAAGATCCCAGCCTAGATAATATGGGATTCAAGCTCTTCTACCTTTTTGGAAAGGATGTGCGTAGAAAGAATATGCTTCTAACCTTTTAGATTAACGGTGATAGCGAGAAGAAATAGAAGTCGATTATCATTGACCATTGGTGAGCTTTGCAGTGTTATGTGGTGAGCTTTTGCGTCATTTCACCGAAGCATGTCATCTCACCGTAAGGTGTCATCTCACTGGAGTCAATCCCATATAAATCAACGTGGATTCCGTTGGTGAGCTTTGCGGCTCGGTGCATTTTTCTTGGCTACCAAACAAATCAACGCGGATTCCGTTGTCTCGATCTCCTCACAAACAAAATCATTGTCTCCCGTCATGTTGTGTTCGATGAGTCGTCTTTCCCATTTTCCCAAAATCCCAATCCCGATGATCTTAATTTCCTGGACACCACGGAGGACGACCTACCCCACTCCCGACGTCCTACCCGCCCCGCTGCCACCAATCCAACCAACACCCCAAATCCCGCCCTCCCAAACAGCCCACAACCCCCCCCCTGCTGGCCCACCC